CACCGACGGCAACAGTTTGTCTCATATCTCTGACAGCGAATCTACCTAATGGTGGGTAGTCAGTGAAGGCTTCAACACACATTGGCTTAGATGGAACCATCTTGACGATAGCAGCATCACCGGACTTGATGAACTTAGGGTTGTCTTCCATCTTCTTACCAGTTCTTCTGTCAATCTTTTCGATTAAAGTGTCGAACTTACAAGCAATGTGAGCAGTGTGACAATCTAAGACTGGAGAGTAACCAGAGGAGATTTGACCTGGATGGTTCAAGACAATAACTTGAGCGGAGAAAGAGTCACAACCCTTTGGTGGGTCGTTCTTGGAGTCACCACAGACGTTACCTCTTCTAATTTCCTTAACGGAAACATTCTTGACGTTGAAACCAACGTTGTCACCTGGAACACCTTCGGTTAATTGTTCGTGGTGCATTTCAACGGACTTGACTTCAGTGGTGACACCAGCTGGGGCGAAGGTGACAACCATACCGGCCTTGATGATACCGGTTTCAACTCTACCGACTGGCACAGTACCAATACCACCAATCTTGTAGACATCTTGTAATGGTAATCTTAAAGCCTTGTCAGTTGGTCTGGTTGGTGGTTCGATAGCATCAATAGCTTCTAACAAAGTCTTACCAGTGGACTTACCAGCCTTGGTTTCCTTTTCCCAACCCTTGTACCATGGACAGTTAGGGGAGGCTTCAATCATGTTGTCACCGTTCCAACCAGAGATTGGGACGAATGGAACACTCTTTGGGTTGAAACCGACCTTCTTGACGAAGTTGAAGTTTCCTTGACAATTTCGTCGTATCTAGCCTTGTCCCATTTAACAGAGTCCATCTTGTTGATAGCAACAATCAATTGCTTAACACCTAAGGTGTAAGCTAATAAAGCGTGTTCTCTGGTTTGACCATCCTTAGAGATACCGGCTTCGAATTCACCAATACCACCAGCAATAATCAAAATAGCACAATCAGCTTGAGAAGTACCAGTAATCATGTTCTTGATGAAATCTCTGTGACCTGGAGCATCAATAATGGTGACGTGGTACTTTGGAGTTTCGAATTTCCATAAAGCGATATCAATGGTGATACCTCTTTCTCTTTCAGCCTTAAGCTTGTCTAAAACCCAAGCGTACTTGAAAGAACCCTTACCTAATTCAGCGGCTTCCTTTTCGAACTTTTCAATAGTTCTCTTATCAATACCACCACACTTGTAAATTAAGTGACCGGTGGTAGTAGATTTACCGGAATCGACGTGACCAATGACAACGAGATTAACGTGAGTCTTTTCTTTACCCATTTTG